CTTCAGGACAAGAGCAGTTCTTCTTCCTGAAAGGAAAATCGACATGGTTTGATATGCACATAGATACCTGAGTCCGGGATTTCTTACCTCTTCCCACCGTTCCTCACATCTTCCTGGTAGGCTTGGTCTCAAGTCTGTCCACATCTCGAGCTAGGAAAACCTGCAATCATCGATGGTGGACATACAGCATGTTATTTATTATTATTACGCGTTGCCAGCTAGGACGGAGATGGCTCTTTAGCAACCAGTTCATTAAATTTCTAGACACTTTTCAAGCTCACTTACCTGTAATGATGTTCGACCACAGACCTTGAATTCTTGCCAATACCGCCAGGTCCAAGGGTTAAAACCTGAAGCAGAAAACAGGCTGCTGTTCTTTTTCTGAACTGGAAGGAAAAGCTGCTTTTCTTCTTGCAGGTTGGTAGAGTTACCTGTTTGACACTCTCTTTAAACTCACCCTCCTCTTTTCTTCCTTCTCTGAACTGCAAGATCTTCATTTTCCCTGGAACTAGAAATGCAGCCTTTTATTCCTAGGCCTGGGCAGTGAGTTGGTGCATTGCTTACCTGTGGACAGAAACGGACCAGTTCTGCTTCTTCCTGCTTGACCTTTGATAAATGAGCAACAATGGCCAAACCTGGAAAACTAGAATGAGTGGAGCAGTTAATCTCTGGAAATGAGAAGGTGAAGGCTCATTTTCATGCTGTGGTGGGTTTCACTTTCTTCTTGAAATAACGTCACCCTTACCTCCTTGTAGGAACAGCCAAAGGCATCATCTGGAAGGGGGAAGAAAGGAGCTCTCATGATCATTGGTAAAAATTACCGGCTGCTGTTCTTACGTGCGAACAGGCAACTCCCAATATTTGTTATTTTACTCAAAACAGCCACTTCTAGTGCTCTTTAGAGAGAGCCGCATTTCATCAGTTTCTTCCACCACAGAACGTGTCCAGAAATCACTGACGGTTATGGGAACATGTTTTGTATTTCTTACCTCCTGAAGAAGGGTGGATCAGCTAGATCAGGGAAGTCCTTCCTGTGAAGTGCAGCCATCTGTCATCCCTGCAGCTCCACATATGACCTAGCTAGAACAGACAGTGTTTTGTGAGGCAAGAAGTGTAAAAGATTTGTCATGGGATTAGTTTTGTAACAGGGAGTGAAATGCCTCCCTGCTGTGTGATGAACGGCTCTATTGGTTTATTTGTGCTCCCCATAAAGCCAGCTGTCTTGTTTAAAATCGAGGAGGGATACCTCACCGCTTCCTTGTCCGTGGCGAGACCAAGCAGGGAAATCTGCAGCCTCTCCCCAGACTGGGTTCTGCCCATTGCTTTACTCTGACAGAACTTGCTTGTGCCTTTGGCAGCGAAGGACAGAGTCACTTCCTCCTCCGGAGAGAGCCACGGGGCTGGTTCGTGTCCACTCCGTTGCCATGGGAAGGAGAGTCCCTGAGCTCCGGATAGGAACACTCAGTGTCACTTCTCACGTCTGCGGTGGTGCCCTACGGGCCTCTGGCAGCGAAGCTGCAGGGATCCCATCAGCTGAGGCAGGATCGTCGCACTGTCGCCTTTGGAAAGCTGATTCCACCTCTGCGCTGTGGCCACTTGTCCCCCGTTCCTGTGGGAATGGTACCGATGCCTGGATTGCTCGCCCAAGTAATGACACCTGTCTCTCTGCTTGTCGCTTGGCAAAGGCCAACAGGACTCTACTTGATACTGAAGAACTCAGCCAAGATTTTGTTCCCCATCCACATCCTCTGTGCCTCACCTCCTCTCTCTTCTCTTATAGCCTCTTTGCCCCCCCTTTCTCCCTCCCCTCCTTGCTCCTTATTTTGGGGGGGGGATCCTTCTTCCCCTTTCTCTACTCTGTCTATTCCTCAGGTACCTAGTGTTTCTCTCTCCCCAATGTCCATTCCCCCCCTCATTATCGATCCCTCGCCGTACCCACCAGCCTCACCCCAGCACACCCCACTCCTTTGCCCTGGTCCCCATCCTCACACCCGTAGGCGGGAGCCATGTGCTATGGACGAGGTGCTGGTGTGACATCAGTGACCCAACAATCGCTGCATCACAGCTGAGTCGCAGGACATGGTCACCACCTCCTTATTTGGGCAGAGTGAGCCCAGTGACTTGCCCTGTGTCACTCGCCTGAGGAGGGGAGTCACATTACACTTTGGATGGAGAGTCACCAGCTGGGCTCTGTTCCAGGGTCATGACCGGCCCCTGACCTGTGACATGGATGGAGTGGGACTCGTGGAGCTCTCCCCTGCGCACACTTCCTTCAGGGCCCCTCCCTGCTGGTCCTAGTCTCTGTCAGTGTCCCTTGCCCTAAGTGCGGAACATCCTGCTTCCCTCACAATGGGCCAGGTCTGAGCAGTGTGATTCCCTGCATCTCCGATTGTACTGAAGGCACCCTGGGTGGTGACCTCGACCCTTCCATTGCACAATTGTACGGAGGTGTCCCAGTCACCGTGGTGACGACCACAGTATCTTTGGTGATCAGGAAACCCAACGTTCAGCATCCCCAGTAGAACTCGTGGCAAGCAGAGGAGGAATGAAACCAAACAAAATTGTTTGCAAACGATCCACTGCAAAATCCTGTCTCTAACAGGAACCAAGTGCAGGTGCATGGACTCTCTGCTGAAGGTCCTGGCATGAAGTGCAGAGCAGTGGGTAGGGATGACGCAGACTCGGCCATTTGCACAGGCCTGCTCCAGTGGCTGCAGCCGGCCATACGGGATCCAAGGGGCCTCTCCTTAAGTCACCCCCTAAGTGCCAAGAGCACTGGGGGGCTGCTACGGTTCTCGAGAGGAGTCCAGATGCTGGGAATGGGGCCTGCAGACCCCACAGTCTGCAATTCTCCTCAGCAATGGGCCAAACCAAGAACTGGGGGAGGGGTTGGAGAAGGGCAGTGGGGATGGGAGACAGACGCAGGACAAAAGGAAGGAGGCAGAAGCCAGGAGGAGACTGAGGGAAAGATCGCTTCGGGTGGAAAGAGAGGATGGGAGTCAGGCAGAATGTGTGCAAAGCAGGGGAGAGGGAGAGAAAGACGTGATGGGGTCTAAAGAAAGAGGGTGTAAAATAGGGTAAGTGCAGTGATCTGAAAACTATCAGATGCGTATTCTACCTTTAATCCCAGACAAATGAACTGGCCATATTTCTTATTATGAGGTCACTAGATTTGAGATGGTGCTTGGTCCTGCCGTGAGGGCAGGGGACTGGACTTGATGACCTCACGAGGTCCCTTCCTGTTCTAGTGAAATATGTAGACTCCTACTCCCCAGCAATTTCAACAGGAGTTCAGTGCCTAACTACCTTTTGTGGGTCCAGACTAATGTCCTATTCTGTTTTTCCTGGGTGCAGGGGGCGGGGAAGCGAGAGGGGTGTCACTGCAGCCCGTTTAACCAGTTAACCAATTAAACAGGATTTTACAATATATTGAACTGGCTAATGAATTAAATGGGGATTTTACATCCCTAATGGGATCATACTCCGGTGATGAGCCTATTCTGCTCCCTGTACCGCTTGTATTTAAGCAGGTAGCCCTGTTTCTACCCAGCGTCGATCGCAGTGGAGCCATGAACTCAAAGCAACCCAGTAGGCCCTTTAACGTTCCCAGTTGTGAACAAACTGGAAATCATTAGCCATGACACTTGAGAAATGGTGATTACTCTGAATTTACTGAAACAACCAAGTCGCAATTTATTTCCCAGCTCATTAGAGAGCTGTGTGTCATAAATCACCCAGCCCATCTCGTGCGGCCAACCTGCCAGTCCCTGGTTTACTCCATGCTCTCGATTATTTAACGTGGAGAGGGCACGCTTAGTTGGCCTTCATTACAGTGTGTACAATGGACGCTCAATGGCTGGGCACTGGATTGTCTCTCTCCCTCACTGTCTGGTCCGCAGGTGACCTGCTTATTTTAGCTGCATGGGGCTGCCTGTCACAGGCTCAGGGTTGGTATAGGAAGTGGGGCATCTAATCGCTTCCTTCTTACATCTGTTAGGGGCGGCACACCTGGAGCTCCCTGTCCCACTCCTGAGTCACCCTGAAGACCTCTTTGCTGTCTCTAGCCTTGAGGTAGAGGTGTCGTGGAGTGACCACCTCCCTTGGAAGCCCCCCACATGAACTATGGCCTCCCTGAGTCTTTGAGGCTATGTCTACACTGTGCCTGTTTGGCACAAGAAATATGGAAATGAGGCTAAGCATGGAATATCACCGAGCATCATTTTCATAATTAATGGGGCTCTGTTTTTGTGCAACCCTCCCCTTAAGCAAGAGCCGTTCTTCCTGAAAAAATAAGAAGAACAGCTCTTGCGCAAGAGGGGGGTTTTGCGCAAAAACGGAGCCTCGTTAATTACGCAAATGAGGCACGGCGATATTCCACTCTTAGCCTCATTTCCATATTTCTTGTGCCAAACAGGCACAGTGTAGACATAGCCTCAAAGACTGGGTAGGGTATTTGCAATTGGAAAGGGTACAGTGCAATTGGAAAGGGTACAGAGAAGAGTGACAAGAATGATTAAAGGTCTAGAGAACATGACCTATGAAGCCAGGCTTCATGAACTGGGCTTGTTTAAAAAAGAAGATTAAGGGGGGACATGATAGCGGTTTTCAAATATCTAAAAGGGTGTCACAAGGAGGAAGGAGAAAGTTTGTTCCTCTTGGTTTCTGAGGACAGGACAAGGAGTAATGGGCTTAAAGTGCAGCAGGGGCGGTTTAGATTGGACATTAGGAAAAAATTCCTAACTGTCAGGGTGGTCAAATATTGGAATAAATTGCCAAGGGAGGTGGTGGAATCTCCCTCTCTGGAGATATTTAAGAACAGGTTAGATAGACATCTGTCAGGGATGGTGTAGGTGGACCTTGGTCCTGCCTTGAGGACGGGGGGCTGGACTCGATGACCTCTTGAGGTCCCTTCCAGTCCTATTATTCTATGATTCTATGATTCTAGCCTCATTGGCATATTCTTGTGCCAAACGGGCGCAATGTAGACATAGCCCCCAAGTGCAAATCGAGGTGGGAGATTCTTCCCCCCACCCCCCAGCTCAAGGGGCGTGAGTGTTGCACCTGTTTGGTTTTCTGAGGAACGACGGTGAAGAAAACGAGCCCTGAGCTGTCTCCCCTCCCCATGACGAAGGTGCACCAGGGACTGGATCCTCTCTTGGTCTCTAGTCACTGCGAAATCCCACCAGAAATAAATGATGAATGGAAGGATGGAGAATTCTTCCTCGTCCAGCTCCCGGGTCCAAAGCAGATTTTCAATGACTGGGACTGTCAAAGGTGCCTAAAGTAGTTGACGGTTCCTCTGTCTCGAATTTCAGTGTGTTCTGGGCATCCTGAGACCGTTGTGTGAGAATCCCACCCTAAAAATCCCCAGGAAGGAAGCTGTTGTTTCTTCGCCAACCCCAGCCAAACTTGAATCTACTTTTGACCAATATTTTATTATTTTCCCCAAAATAGTTTCCGGTTTGAGGAGGGAATGCTCAGGCTTTTGTTTTTCTCCAAATGATTACAGCCTACTTTTAATTGCTTTACTATAACAATATTGTGATTGGAGGCTAGACTGGTGTGAATAATTCAGTACAGCACAGTGATAACTTTATCCACAAAAGATGGTTTATAGTAATTATTTGCAGCTATTTCGAAGACAAGCAGAGTATAATCTGAATGGGGTATGTAAAATGCTCAGAGAATGCAGTGCAAATGTATTCACTCTATTACTGGTGGGGAAAAAAACACATTTTGGTTTCCCATGAATGCATAATCTCTTGTGCTATTAAACCATAAACAAAGGTTCTTTTGAGAAATATTCCTATCCAAAGCTAATTGCTTGCGCTGTAGATGCATGTGCTGTTTATGCAAAAGGAAGACCTTCTAGTAGGCTAGGTAATAAATACACCAGATACATTGTGAGGCTTTCTTGCACAGACTAGAGATCACAAAGATGCTGAAAGTTTGCAGTAGAGCAAATATTTTGAATGTGATAGTTCTTGTTGGTTTGCTCTGGAAAGCAAACATCCCTTCCACCGCCTTTGGCAAATATCTCATGCTGGAGAGGACCATTAGAAATAACTGTAGGAAGTGGATAAAAAGAAAACAGTGCATGATTGTGGTGATTTTTTTTTAAAGAAACATGGTTTTGTTTGGAGGATGGTTCAAATAGCTTCTTCTCCAATTCTCGCTTAGGTGCTTTTTACCATGAAATACCCAAAGCAACTCTTAGAGATCTCTGAAATCAGTTGGTTTCCCCCAGTCCAGTTACTAGAGGACTCGTGTTAGATCACAAAAAAAACAGGGTCAGAATTAATGCCATTGGCACATAAGTGAGACACAAAGGGGTTTAATGCATGTATTACTAAAACTGGTTCTTAAAGGTCAAGGTTTAAGCAGGCCAGTAATTGGAGCTGTAAGAGAACTACATTTTTCCCCACTCTGTGATGGTTTTGTGGTTTGGGTTTTTTTTACTTCCTCTGTTTTCAAGAACAAAAACAAAATTTCCAAATTTCTCACGATCCAATTTTAAAAAAACACCTGATTTGTGATCAATTAAACATACCTCCACAAAACTAATGCTTTCCCCTCGCTTTGACTCTGTGGGTTTGTCTAGACTACATGGCTCCATCGACGGAGCCATGTAAATTAGTTTATTCGGCATAGTTGAAGAAGCGGGGATTCAAATAATCCCCACTTCATTAAAATAAACATGGCCACCGTGCTGTGCCGACGATCAGCTGATCCGGCACAGCGCAGCAGTCTAGACTGCCTCGTGAAACGAGGTTTACCGGAGCGGTCGACAAAGGCATCCTTTGTCGACCGCGCTGCATCTAGACTGCCGTGCTGTGCCAGATCAGCTGATTGTTGGCACAGTGCAGCAACAATTTTTATTTTAATGAAGCAGGGATCATTTAAATCCCCACTTCATTGACTATGCCAAGTAAACTATTTGGGTCAGTCACTTCAGATTGTTCTGCCGATTGCAAATCCAAATCCGAAGCAGCTCTGCAGTGCTTCACAGCCAGAGGTGAGCTGTTCCATGTCCCAGGTTGTCAGAGGAATCTGCTGCTAAAGCAACACTTAGAGACAATGAAGCGACCTGGCAGAAACTGATTGTTACAGCAGCTCCCGGATCTCCAGACGGAAGGAGACCCGAGGGCCGTTGTGCGGTAGGTAAGATTCACTCAGTTGGAATGAGTGGAACCGGCCGTATCAGTTGTCAAGTGAAACCAAACCACATTTTCTTAACATTCAAGTGGAAGCAAATGGATCCTCTTTCACTTTCAGGTGGGGAAATGCAACTGATTTGAGCTTGGAAGGTGAGAAAACATCAGGAAGTTCCTCGAAGATCTTTGACTGCTGCCAAAAGGGAGGAAACTCGCCTCGTAGCAACGGAGAAGGGTTAACGGGTTGTGTTTCCCTTTCAGGTGAGAGAAACGCAGCAGGCAGGACCTCAGAGGAAGACGATGAAGAGAGTCACCTATATCAGCAAGGTTCAGTCCAACACTGCTGCAGACCGTCACTGACCCGCAGGTGAGTGTTTGTGGCTCTCTTGTACAAGGGGCTTCCAGATCTGTTCCCTTTGGCAATCTTTATGGGCCTGATGAGTAACGGAATGACCTGTCGAACTCTGCTCCCTGCAGCCAGGGCT